AATGTTAAGCAGTGACTGATGAAACCCACTGAGCTGGAGAAAGGGCTTGGGTAGGAAACCAAGGTCAAAAAGGTTGGCCTGAATCAGATTCTGCGTGCAGAGGGGGTTTTGGACCTAAGACTTCGTGATGGTGGGGTTTGATTTGCTCTCGTGTGGGAAACCCTTGCCAAGCAGGAGAGGCTTGATACGGACAGATAGCAGGAGACCGAAGCGGACCGGGAGGGAAACGTGCCGTGGTCAGACATCTGGGGGAAGCAGCCGTGTGCAGCAGACGGGCCACGGATGATGGGTCTGGTGGCTAGTGGCTGAAGGAATGCCGGAGGACCCGGTGCTCTGGAACACCAGGATATTTGAGGCCTGGAAGGGATGTTAGAGGCATTGTGGAGATACTTGGTGCAGGGCCATTGGTGCCCAATTTACTGGTCCCGGAACTGGAGGACCAAGAGTGCCGGAGATGTTCAGACTTGAGAGGGAGACCACGGTGGTTTGGGGAGGCTCAGAGTGACTTCATTTGTTATACACAGTTACCAGGGCATCCTCGGGGCATTGGGGGCCTCGTGGCGATGGTGAGCCTTTCTTTTCCTAGGAAATCTGGCTGTAACGGATTAAATATAGCCAGGGACCCGTACTTCTTGCGTGGGACTCGGCTGGGCTTTCGGGGGTTCTCTGTGCCTCTACCTTCCCTTCCTTGGCTCTAACCCCCTCTCCAAGCGTCTTGGGGGGTGGCGGGGGTGGGGGGAGGCTGTGCTCCACGGTATCTCTTCGCTCACACCATGGTGACTCTCATTTTCCATCCACCATGATCTCCATGGCGTCAGAGGCCAACAGCTCTCGAGGACGGTCACGGAAGTGCAGACAGACTCTGGAGTGGACCAGATGTGGCTTTAAACTTGACAGCGGTATGGCCTTGAACCAGCTAATTAGCAGAACATCAACTTCCTCGCCCGTTCAATGGGGATAAATAAGGCTCCACTGTTCGGAGGCTTAAATCACGTAAAGAATAAACAAGTAGCAAAGAGGCTGGCACATACTAAGGTCTCGGTAAAAGTTTGCTTTTTTCATTATTAGCTCATAATTAAAGACGGCTTAATTTACATAAAAACAGAAGTTCAGGTAGGTAGCCGGCTCGAGTTGTATTCCGAAAGAATGAATCTCCGAGAAGGAGACTTTCCCCTACAGGCAGAAGCAGAAAGTTATTTTGGTGTGAAGAAGTTCAAAAGCACACAAGCAACTCTTGGTCTCGATGTCAGAGTGGACAGGGATTGAAACACGCCTGTCCGCCACAAGCCAGAATTTGCAGTGGGCTGTACCCCACCTTTCTGGGTATCTGGTCGTCATCCACAGTGCTCTCCCCAGGCGCCCTTAATTTAATTAGAAGGGCAGACTTTGAAACCAGTTGCCATGGGCCCCATGGAGTTGTGTACCAGGAAGAACAATTGCCATTAATTGAATGCTAATTACTGTTGAAGACCTTAGTTATACTCTTTTTTATAGATGAAGAGGTTGAGGCTCAGAGAGGTTAACTAGGCCCAAAGTCACCCAGCAACCTAATGGTACAGTCAAAATTTGAACTCAAGTCTTTTTTTTTTTTTTTTTTAACATTTATTTATTTTTGAGAGAGAGCATGAGCAGGGAAGGGGCAGAGAGAGAGGGAGACACAGAATCTGGAAGCAGGCTCCAGGCTCCGAGCTGTTAGCACCGAGCCCGACGCGGGGCTTGAACTCAGGAATCGCAAGATCATGACCGAGTCGGACACTCAACCGACTGAGCCACCCAAGCGCGCCTGACCTCAAGCCTATTTGACTCCCAAACCCATGTGCTTGACCACAGAGTCCTTTCCCTGGGATCTGAATGGTTGTTGGAAAAGGAAAGCCAGCCCCTCTTTCAAATTATTCCATTGTATCCTCAGATGTAAGACAAAATTTGAGGAAACAGAATATAGTGAGCAGAACATACCCTGAGCCATATGTTTGCCAAAATTATGAATGTCGTCAGAGAAGACAGTTGCAGAGGCAAAAAAGGCCTCTGTGTGGACTCTATGCCATTGCAGCTGGAGAAATTAATGCAACTGCCTCAGGTTGGGGGTGGGGGGCAGCCAGCGGAGCAGGACCTGAGTCTGGTCCCTTGGGGACCGCCCCAGGTACTTATTAAGCACCACTCGTGTGCAAAGCAGTTGTGTTGGGCCCCATGGAGAAACACAGAAGGATGGGAAGCCATCTGCTTCCTCGACATGCCGGAGACTCAGAGGCCTAGTCCTCTAGACCAAGCCTTCGGGGGTCTGGAAAGCTGAGACCCTCTCGGACACATTTAGGCAGCTGTGTTCCAGGAAAGAGCCCCGCCTCCATCTCCTCTCGGTGCTTTAACCAGCCAGGTGTCTCCTCGGGGGAGACCTTTCCCGAGGCACAGTGGTGGAGGCTCCTCAGATTAAGGGATCAGGGCCGGAGGCCTCCAGGCCCTCCTGTTGCCAGGGCAACGGTGAGTCAGGCCAAGGCCTCTCCTCCAGCTCTGGAAAGCTGTTTGGCTACTGAAGCCTCTCACTGCTTCCCAGGCATAGCGGGAACTTCTAGATTTAAATTAAAAAAAAAAAAGTCTTCATGGACCTCCTCTAGTTGGGTTCCTTAAAACGAGTATTTTTATTAAAATACAATAGAATCTAACCCTTTTATTTCTATTTTCTACAAGAGGTAACTCCAGGCTAACACCCTTTTTAAAAAAGAAAGAGAAAGGGAGAGAGAGGAAGAAAGGAGGGAAGGAAGAGGAAAGAAAGAACGAGAAAAGGAAAAATGAAATCGAGTACTGCGGACGCTGGCCTTACCGGAGGACTGACTTCCGGTCAGCGCTCAGCCCAGCCTTGAGTTTTAGGGACGGTAACAATCATCACCACGATTCAGCGGATCTTCCTATGTTCCAGGCACTGTGCTAACAAAATGCTTTCATTTCATTTTCTCTTGTGCCCACCTGTGAAATCGGTATTCGTCCCTGCCTTTTCCAGATAAAATCCAGAGAGGTCAAGCATTTAGTCCAAGGTCACGTGACCAGAATGGAACCTTAAGCGTGTGGGACCCAAAGCGTGTGCTGTTAACTGCTGTTCCATACTGCCTCCCAATTTCTTCAGCGTGGATCCTTAATAAAAAAGGCAAAGAGCACTATTTCTCTCTGATTCGCAGCCCTGACCGTCCTGTGGACACTGCACCTAAGCTCTGCATCTGGCTGAAAGCAGAGGGCTCACTGGCCCACCAGTGAGCCTGGCCAGGCCTGGCCTGGCCTGCAACCCTGGGACCCGGCCACCCTGGGACCCGGCCCCCCTGGGAGGCCCAGCTCACCTGCAGACGCCTCAGTGGCTGAACTGAGCTAGGAATTCCGCCGCCCCCACCCGTTTAAAACTGAGTCTCTCTCTTGCTTAAGGCGTTTGGGAAGACAACTGTGTGTTAAGGCCAGGGGCTCCCCTTCTGTTTGTTGCTGAAGTCAGGACCTAACAAGCCATTTGTTTAACAGAGGAGCTGGGCGAGGGAGATGATGACAAAGAAAATGCACCTGCTCCCTAATAAAATACCACTCTCCTCTTCCAGGCGACACTGCCTGTGGTCGTCACTGTTCCTTCTCGCCATTCCTGCCAGCCGCATGAATGAAACTCACGGCTTCTCTTTGTAAATAATACCCCGGTTCCCAATTAACTCGAGTGTAAGATAGGAAGGAGCCAACTACTGTCTATCAACCAGAGAAAGGGAAAGTTGAATTTTAATGACGAAATATACCAGTGAAAACTTCTATCACTTAAATAATGAATATCAGGATAACAAACTGTTTCCTTTTAGAATCGGAAGAGTCTATACCTTTTTAAGCACGGTATTCCATCAGTTCTTTATCTACAGGATACAGAAACACTAAGGTGGTGCCCTCAAAGGATTGAAATTGATTGGATTTAACCTAAATTCAGCAGAAAGTTAAACAGGT